GCTTAGGGTTTCCTCGATGGCCCTGTCTGAGTCGTCAGCCCAGCAGCCGCATGCGCTTGAGCCTCAGGATATCTCAGACCCATCGCACAACCAAAGCCTCAGCCACTGCAACCCAAGCTGTATCTATAACCCCTACAGAACCCCTATATAGTCACTATATGTGTATCTATAACCCCTATATAACCCATAAACCCTATATAACCCTTATATAATCACTGTGTATGTAACCCTATATCCAGGAGGACGCAGCTGAATGTCATGCAATCAAGACACGCAACTCCGCAGGTAGCCTGGAGCCTGCAAAGGGTTGGTCACCGTAAAAGCTCAGAGCGAATGGGCCAACTGCACCCAGCAAAATGCAGCCAAGAGGAAGGATACAATGGTTTCCTTTCCACCAGCCCTGGCTATAAGAAGAATGCGAGAACGAAACAGGCTCCACATGACCACGCGCCTTTGGGCAGCTCCCCTTTAGACATGACCTCCAGACGCTGTTGAACTGACCTCTGTGGGCAACAGGTGTGCGCATGCAATGCCCTAAGGACAGATCTTTTGCCACTCTTCTTCCGGCTGCTGTTCTATACACAGCCACTCTCAACAGTTTGGCTTGCTTGTGCATTCAGGCTGCTTTGCAGTTCCAGCATCATCACATGGATGAAGCGGCATGTCCACCTGCAGACTGTTGATTCAGATCTAGCAGCTCCACAAGCCCAAATTGTTGCGTTGAAGCCTGCGGCTGGGGCCAAAGAGGACGGATTGATCTCCGCAACCAGTCGCGAACATAACCTTGTTACGAGGCCAATTGACCACGATGCACCAACCATTAATTTGCTCAAAAACTGTTGCCAGGTAAAATGCAACCAGCTGTTCTATGACCATACGTTTCTGGACCGCTTCTGGATTACACGAATACTCAGCACCGGAGAACATAGTGGCACGCAACGATTCGTTTCCTCAGCCGACTGCCCGTATCATCACAACATCGAGTCAGTTCGCCGTCAGGTGCCCGCAGCCTGCTAGCAAACAGTTTCGTGTCGGGCATCGTACTTCTCACTGCACCACTTACTTACATCTTCTTACAACTTTGTTTTGGCCGGCACCCTGCCTGTCTGCTTCGGCATCATCGTCGCACGCAGCACCTGGCATCTCTAGCATATTTTGCAAGACAGCAAGCTTCTGGCCCGTCAGCCTGAGGCACCAACACATCAAGGCTTGCCCTTCCTCCAGTATGGAGCCATCTGCACCTGCAATCACCATAGTAATATACTATAACATACCATGATATACCATGATATACTATGATATACTTTGATATGCTATGATATGCTATGATATGTCATGATATACTATTTTAAGTGGAATTCGACACCATCACACGAGCTCGCAAGGAAAACGAGGTGCGCCTGCGATGCAAAATAGCACACGGACGATTCTGTATCCTGGCCATCAGGATTGGGTGACTGCGCGCGCCGCATCAACAGGGCCAGATCTTTGTTTATCACTCACAAGAATGTTGAATAGTGCAAAACCCCTCGCTCATAGAATCATGAGATCGTCTGAGCCCTGCTCAACTCTGAAACCTCCTCCAACTTGCTGGCCGGCCTGGCAGCTCCTCGGGGGTTACGTCCAACAGCGCAACGTGACCTGGGTTTCAGGTCAAACAACAGGAGAAATTCCCGTTTTGCTAAAGCTCCTCTATCACGGTATACGTGTTCATCGGTGTTTCAGGTTGGACGTGGGCAGTAATGCCCAAGCGGTCACTCGAGCATGACACAATGCTACACCACTTGGCATGCTGACACTGGCTGCTGGGCTTGCGGCTGACGTAATCCTCAGTTGATGGCACCTCACTTTGCAGCTTCATGCGCAGGCTTGATGAAATCGATCCTTGGGGCCAATACCATGGCAAGTGCTGCGACTTCTTTGGTACGCACGCAAACATCGCCACACCTGAGCACAGCCCCCAGAGGGACCTGCATGGGTAGTTCTGCCCCAATCACACGCATAGAACGTGGGGAACTAATCACTCAGTGCATCTCAGCGCTCTGCACAAGGTTTACCCAGTTTGCTTGGCAAAATGAGCGCTGCCAGCCTTTCACCTTCCGGGCACTGAAGCTCAAATGCACGTGCGAAACGGGCGTTGTTGGGCTAACCTTCCTCTGGCTGTAGTGAAACTAATGAAGTGCAGACTCGACCTGGCCTGGCCGATATGGAAATGGGTGAAATCAAAAGATTCGCGTGCGGACGCCTGGAACAGCTTGTGTCGTGATATCATAGCTGTCCTCTGAAACCAAGGATCCGACGCCAACCACGGTCACGACCTGAGGGATGAGTGCTCTCCCCTAAAATGTCCGTGAGTGGAGACCCAAGAGCACATGCAGCTGTCAAGCTTTGCCGAGCTTTGTGCCTCAGCTTCCGTGGCTGGTCTCCAACCTTGTCGAGCGGACACTCACAATGCTCAAAACAGGCTTGTGACACAAATCTGAGCCCCCTGCGCATAGCATGCATGGCAGAGCAAGGCGGAATTCGCCTTGCCGGAGGCCTGGTCAAAGTTGCAGCAGAACTCATCGCATTCAAACTTGCCTTGCCAACTTGCAGCCTCCAAGCGTCTAATTCAGCACCCACTCCGCCATCTCCGTGGACAGTTTGTCCAGGTGACGGTGGATTTCTTCCTCACCCATGGTGCCTCACTCTCATCCGAAGGCACATACGTCCAGCAGCTGAATCGTGTCTGAGAGCCAGGCACACACAGTTGGTATGGCTCCGTACAGGAGAAACTGTCCACTTGAGCCCTGATGTTGCTGATGTACAGACCTCTAGACACCGCACCACCCAGCACAATCTTTGTACACTCTTGGATTCGTGAAGCTGATGCACCGCGACAAGACTCTTTTCGCTCACGTTAGCCACCCAAGGCTCCCGGACCTCCCTCCCAGAAACGGATCAGCACTGGTGGTCCGTTCAAGCGATCAAAAATCTGCATTCTGGCTTTGGGCTCTAGCATTTGAGAACTGTCGTTGCATGGAACGTCCGTGCTGCTTTCTGTCAGCATGAGACCGCTTGCCCAAAACCAGCGATTTGGTTCTGCGACTTATTGCTTGCCCGTGGCGTTCAGGCGCACCTGGCAAGTGCCGTCTACGAGAGCTCGTCAACACTGGGGTTGCTCTTGGGTCCAGGACTCCAAGAAGTAGAAATCCCAGACGCGCACTTCTGGGCAGAAAGGGTCCGCTACAGTAGGACCCTTGAAAAAACCTATAGTCCCCCTTAAGTAGACAGAATATGGGGTATACGGGGATCTGATTATGATATGCCCAAAGCCATAGTCTGTCTACTTAAGGGGGACTATACAAAGCACAGAATGTACCTAGACCTTGCCATCTACTGTCTGAACTACCCTAAATACCCACTATTAGGGACCATACAGCCATATACCCGTGTTTAAGGATACACAGTCTGTCCACCTGAAGAGTTAGGCAAAGCTTACCCTAAACCCGGAACTCCAAAACACCAGATTCCCCACACCCTCAACCTCGTACCCCTGTAAAACCTAAATCCACCTCAAACCAGTCACTTCAACCCTTTGGGCACCAAGTCTTCACGCAGTCGGATGACGGGTCGCTTGGAGACCCG